GGACAGTCTTAAGCCGTCGTGAGAAATATTAAACACGTTTAATATTCTACTACGCGACTGCCCCCGACGCACACCATCGCGTCTGTGTTCAACTCACACAGACCCGACGCGACAACAAATCGCGTCGGGCTGCGTCGGCCGACTCTGTCTGAGTTGGCCTTAGCAAGTTTGGTTAGTAAACTTGACATGATCAAAAGGCAGAGAACGTAGTTTATATCAAAACGTGTCAGAATCATCTTCTTCATAGAAATTACATTTTTATACCAAATAGTATTCGATGTACCTGTAGGCCCACTCAACCCTAAACAATTGGGCCTACAATAGGTAATACATTCATTCTTTATACAGATTACATAAACAATGTTAATCCTTATCAACAAAATCATTTTGGTTAAAATACGTAGCTTCAATGTTACTTACCGGATTTAATACAGTACTAATCGGAGTTAATATTAGCCTACCACAGACGATAAAAAAATAACACTAGCGTACAATATTGACTACTTATTAAACACCACTGACCAACTCGCCCATTTTTCTGATTTGTTGTGTACCAGTTCGCTGAGTAATATTGCTCTAAACTAGAAACAATGACGTTTTGTGCATAATAGTACAACAACTAAAGTGATTTAGTTCTTTTGATATTTAAATTTGACGCGTGTTAAGTTCAACAAGGTTCTCCGATACGTAAGCTGTGAGTTTTGGGCAGAGTGAGGACGATCAATTATCGATTGTCTTTCTATGTTTCACTAGATATTGAGGTAAACTCAGATTCATTGATAAAATCAGAATGGCCTTCGAGCACACCAGACCTACGTGGTAAAATAAATCAAATCAGTATTTTTTTTTGGAGCGGTTGCAGGCAGTAGCTTATCGAGGGGTTGCGCGGCAGGGAAAAGCTTTAATCAAAGTCGCCCATTGAATGTCCCAAGATATCGCCTCATTTTTGCAAAAAAATAATCATCATCGCGTATTCAGTTACCAACACAGAATGTGAGTACGCCCTCTTTAGTCGGTTCTTAAAAAATCTTGTTTCAATTACAAGGCTCCTTCCTTTTAAAGACCACCTTTGGGACCGTAGTTTTTATTGTCTTTTGCTGCTTTCGTCTTTAAATTAAAAAAAATAATAATTATCATAAAGAAAACAATCAGGCGTTCATTCGAGGCGGCATAAAATTGGTCTTTAAATTTGAGAGGTCTAATTACAGAGGGAAACCTGTTTTATATAAATTTACTATTTATTTATTTAAATAAGCAATACACGAATATGCATAATATATTTTATGCAACCTTATATTATCGAAACAGAATATAGAAACGAAGTAACCAAAAGTATAAAGAACAGCATATAAGCTATATACTTTTGCGCGCTTCTTAATAAATGTACTATTTCATTATTTAATTTAAAATCTGTAGTCGGACATTAGTAGACGTACAAAGTGTAATAAAAATTGTTTCTCTCACTCAACAAAATAAACATAGCTTGTAGGTTGAAATATACATAGGCCTGGCTTAAGTCTAATAAATCCACACAAATAAATCTCAAACGCGTGCCTTTTCTGTTTACCAGTTTTACCAGACTGAATGATTTCCATTTGTACGTCTGCGTCTGACGTTGATCCTGCGAGAAGCAGGGCGCGAAGACCACAACATATTTGCCAGCATTTTGGCACGTCTGAATGTGGATGATTCATATCTTGAATATTAAGTGGGCTGACACTTTTGAATGCCATTAAGCTGCGGGCATGGCAGACGTGCTCGTGAACAGTGAAATGAATAAATATGAATCTTAACATCGTAGGCCACCGTCATTTTTAACCACAGGCCATTTAACGCTCTTCCAGCCAAACAAAGGCGAGAATAGAAGGCTCATTCCCCAGGGTCTCACATCACATCACCTTCAGCTTACAAAAAAAACTTCTTTATAAATGTAGAGCTACACATTGGAAGAATAGTTGCCACACACTTATTATAATTGAGGTAACATGCCGAATTTTTCCAATACTGTTTCTATTTTATTTCATGCCAAATTCTGATATTTTAACATTTCTTAATTTGTATTTTACTATTTCTGAGTGTTTTATCACAGAGGTTACATTCAGATATTCTGATTGGTCTTCAATATGCCACCAGTGTTAGTTTTCAGAAACAAACGAGCCGTATTCTGACTAAAGACCAACTCAGACAGCGTCGGCCGACGCAGCCCGACGCGATTTGTTGTCGCGTCGGGTCTGTGTGAGTTTAACCATGGTGTGCGTCGGGGGCAGTAGCGTAGTAGAATATTAAACGTGTTTAATATTTCTGTCCCCGACGATAAATCGGGTCGGGCTGCGTCGGCCGACGCTGTCTGAGTTGGCCTTAATGGGTAATTGTGTAATACATGTGGATGAAATGTTTTTTAAAAAATTCGTGTGAAGGGAATACGAGGTTAAATGCTATTCCGTTTGTTTAATATTTAATGCATTGACAGCCTATATTATTAACCCGCACCCATTAATCGCCGCCAACAACATTCAGTCTCAATTACTTACTAGGATTAATGGCAAGAGTATTTCTTTAGTACATTCCCAAAGCCTTTATAGAGAGACTGCTGTTTATGATACATATAACACAAAGCAGGGGAGGATTTAGGTGGGGGAGCCCTCACTTTTGGAAAGTGAAAGAAAAAAAAAGGAAGAAAAAGAAAAGTGATCGCCCAAAACGCCTGAGAGATTATTTTCGGGCGAGAAAACAAGAATTTCGCGGACCCTAGGCTGGTGTTATCTCGATCTGCCCCACTTTTGGTCTCTCGTTCGGACATCTCTTTATCCGCCCAATGCAAACGAATGATGGTTCCACTTTCCAGTTAAATTGATTGAACCTTGAAACAATACTTTGAAATCAACATAGAATATTGAGTTGTTTCGTCATCACGTCATGTTCTAGTAACGCGTAGCTGGAAGGGTAACACGTTTATTCTAAAAACTATTTTCGTTTTGGTAAATATAAAAAAAAAAATCACACAAATGCGTCGCGCACAGTACAACATAAGGCAGTAGTGTGGATCGGATAGAGCAAAATAACAATGATTTGCGTAAGCATCAAAATAGGTTTCGCAACTTTCGAAAAAGATAACGAATACGTCATTATTATTATCATCATTCGTGCCTCAAACATTCTTGATAATAATGCTGAACGAACTGAATATGATCCTTGATTCATGAAAAAGGCTTGAATTGCCTACGTTATGACAGATATGCTACCTGTGGAGAGTGTTGTCTAAAAAACTGATGACGAAACCGTATTCGTTAGGCCTATGTTTTCGTAAGCTCGCGAAAACTTTCTATTGTATCACCCTATATAGAGTACGGTACTATCAAACAGAAAAAAATTACAACATAATTGAATGTCAAACATGAACATTTATTCATCAAACAATATACTCAACATCTACAGTGAGAAAATGCTTAATCACCACTGTCTGGTTTTATCCAATCAGTTATAAAACTACATCGAAATGTAACAAAAATAAGGATTTTTCGATTTGTGACGACAGAAAAACGTATGACCTAATGAAATCACGTAGGATATCCTGCGCATGCGATTACTTTTGAGCCAATGGACGGGGTCACTTTGTCGTCACACAATCAAAAGCTCCCTAACAACAAAAAAACAATACATTTTCTAAAAAACAAGCAATATAATTAAATGGCAGTAATAAATTAATTAGAACTATCCTTTCATATAAAATTAAAATATTGCGCGAATAAATAATGAATCAATTAATTAATACGTGGTTTTGGAAATACACAAATTGATTTTCATTAAAAAATCATTTCAGACATTACAAGAAGGTTGACGCAGGGCATACATATATGGACCTCTTTCCGCTAAGCCACGCCCCTTAGATATCGTTGCTATGCTCCCACAAAACAATAGCGTAACGTACGTAAAAACGTGCCTTAAACTCGTGGTTGTAGGACATTTACATTTTAAACTGGCCAATTAGATCGCGTTATTTAATAACCAGGAATACGCGCATGTCCCACAAACACGCAAATTCAAGTACGTTTACGCTGATTATTAGCTCCCACGTTACCACATCTAGATGTGTATAAGAGACAGATACAGTACTAATCGGATCCGCAAACAAAATATTCTGATATTTCGGATACTGTAATCCATATAACAAATTGCATAATAGTAAGTGTACAAGATTTGTATGTCCACGTCTTTAGATTATAACAATAAAATAAATAGAGCCTGTTAAAGAGATCAAAAAGAAATATAACTTTAGCATAATATTTTCTAGGTTCTTATTGATGTAAAACAACTAGGCTATTAGAACATAATCGGACCTAAATGGAAGGGGCATGCATTTCTTGATAGAACAAAATGTAGGCACAGGCAGTACATTTCTTGCTAAATCGGTGGTAAACAATGCAAATATTTGACTCTTCGTAGCGGTAATAATTATCTTTAAAAAGATACCATGAGTATTCATATTTCACATGTTTGGTCCTGATTTTGTTTCCGCTGTGATTCTGTTGGGCAGTGGCGGCGCCAGGATTTTCCCGACGGTGGTCCATGGTCCCCGACGGGGAAGCTGATGTTCCCGACGAGAAAAAAAAGTGGGCGTGGTCGGGCGTCGCTAAAAACCTTCCGAAAGTGGTCCAGGGGACGCAGCCCCCGAAAATATGACAATTTAGGGGTTTCAAAGGCTTATTTAATCGATTTTAGAGTCTATAAATTTGTACAAAATACATGTAATTTTTTTGGATTTTTGTTTCTCCCCAACGAACCGTGATTTTTCTCCCCGACTGGTGGGGGGGGGGGCTCCCCACGGGGGGATTGCCTCCCCTCCCCCACCCCATAGCGCCGCCACTGCTGTTGGGTATAACTATGGCACGCAAACTTAGTCACAACTTCATAAAACATGTACAGTAGAACCCCTCAGTGGACACTAATCAAAGAAGTGCCCCATAGGTTGTCCCGTGAAATTCAATAGTGGTTGGCCGACGGTGTGTTAATAGATAATTGTCTAAATATGGTCATGATGACATCACATAACTGCCATATGTAGGCACATCATGACTATATATGGACATACAACAGTTGTCAGACCCCATCGGACAAATCCTGGCGCCACAACCGCTAATACGGCAACACACTTGTGATTGGTAGGTTGCATTATTATTAACAGATCTTTTAAGAGCATGCGCAGTTCTGTTAATACGAATTTAACCTGAGATAATTCCAATTGAAAGTGTCTAGCTATATGAATGATTTGGGTGTGGATACATTTTTGAGTCATGAAACAATACGCACAAAAGAAAGCAGGTTAAAAAAATAATTTGTAGTTCACTGGAAGCTCCTCAAGATTTTGCCATTTTTTTCTGGAATGTTCCACCGGCACTGTGTTCTCCTCTCCTACACATCAAATGCATTGGGTAGGCCTATGCCAAGGCGTGGACCTTTAATAAAAGATTTTCCCTCTGCCTGGATATACATCGGCGTTGTAAAAACTGTTTTCCCTACTGCTGATTCCGAAGAGAGTTGACTTCCAAAAAATTAATAGCCAAACAGCCAAATACATATTCCGTCTGTATCTAATCGGTCCTTGAAAAAACATCTTGCAATGCATAGTCCTATAGGCTAATCCTTGTTGATGGGCTCTGGGTGGGCCTGCCCATGGATGGGGCCCCAGCCTACATGTTCGTGCTTTCAAGATAGTCTGCAATTACTGCTACAGCTTTGTTGGTGTTACCTTGTTGATGAGAGTCGCCGGTAAATGCTATAACAATTGCCGTTTTTGAGGCCTGGAGGGTGACAGAACCTACTTCTTTCTTTTTTGCTAAGACTAATTTTCCGTCTTCCTGTCTCAAAAATTGATATTTCTGGTCCTCGCATCGTAATCCACTCGTCATGAACGATGTAAAATCTTTACTTTTGAAGCATTTCGCTATGTTAGCACTCTCCTCAGCGGTTAACTTAAAAGCCTTCTCATGGTCGTCCGATGTCCACTTTGCTCCTCCATCTAGGCCTATTATACACACTTTATCTGCATGAGATGCTCCGGAGGCGTCTTTACTCTGAGCAATTAGGTTGTCGATATATGAATCCCAGCTCATTTTTAAAAATGTGTAGGCCCTACAGTACAATACTTAGCTAATTTTTTTAGTTGAATAAAAGAATTTTTTGAGGCGTGAATCTTCACATTCACTCACATACGTTAAGTACCCAATCTCTTCTATCACAGTATTGAAGAAGAGAATGCGCTTCAGTACGATTCAGTCGATTGGCTAACAAAGTCACGTGAATATCACCGCACCCAATGACGAAGCCAGCTGTAACTGCAACAATTTCCGTCGTGGGGGCGTTTCCAAATGTGGACATACCGCAGAATCAAACAGCCGTTAGATATTAATATTACTGTACTCTATGTAGAGTGTGATAATAACAGGCTTTAATTCTCACCCGTACATTAAGAAGAAAACTGTAGTATACAAATTTTAACGTTGATATTGTATAGACATAAAATTTATTTTGAGCACTGTGCTCTTCCTCATCGGTAATTGTTAATAGGCCTATACCTATCCGAGGACGGAAGACATTGGCTGATCCAGAGGTAGAAAAATACGCTTACCCATCCCCTCCTCCAAGGGTTCAGGAGAATCTTTATGGTTGGTATGGTTAAAATTGAGCTTTTAGACCACATTATTATGGATTGGCAAACAAATTAAATATAAGTACCATATCACGTACGTACGAGATAAATGGCTTAACTTTACGTTGGCAGCAACACTTCCGTACAGCCAGATTAAAAGTCCTGGCCCTGTTCTGATTGGTCAGTTGTTTGATTTACATTTAGGAAAGATCCATTTTAATGGGTACGTCAATGCAAAAGCGTCCATCTCTATAGCCTATATGTACACTGTCTCTTATACACATCTAGATGTGTATAAGAGACAGACCGTATTCGTTATGCCTATAGTTTTCGTAAGCTCGCGAAAACTTTCTATTGTATCACCCTATATAGAGTACGGTACTATCAAACAGAAAACTTTACAACATAATTGAATGTCAAACATGAACATTTATTCATCAAACAATATACTCAACATCTACAGTGAGAAAATGCTTAATCACCACTGTCTGGTTTTATCAAATCAGTTATAAAACTACATCGAAATGTAACAAAAATAAGGATTTTTCGATTTGTGACGACAGAAAAACGTATGACCTAATGAAATCACGTAGGATATCCTGCGCATGCGATTACTTTTGAGCCAATGGACGGGGTCACTTTGTCGTCACACAATCAAAAGCTCCCTAACAACAAAAAAACAATACATTTTCTAAAAAAACAAGCAATATAATTAAATGGCGGTAATAAATTAATTAGAACTATCCTTTCATATAAAATTAAAATATTGCGCGAATAAATAATGAATCAATTAATTAATACGTGGTTTTGGAAATACACAAATTGGTGGTAGTGGTAGTGGTAGTGGTAGTGGTAGTGGTAGTGGTAGTGGTAGTGGTAGTGGTAGTGGTAGTGGTAGTGGTAGTGGTAGTAGTAGTAGTAGTAGTAGTAGTAGTATTATTATTATTATTATTATTATTATTATTATTATTAATTATTATTATTATTATTGAAACGGGCCTAAGTAGTTTCTCATAAGGAATATCAAAACAATAAAAAATGTGCCTTTAAAGCCATGTGCATAAACAATCTTCATTACTAGTTTAACATTAAAATTACTAGCCATAAACATTATAAACCATTGCTCGATACAAATCAATGAGTTTTGGAGGTCAATATGGAGATTTCGCAACCTTACGAAAAAAGATAACGAATACGTCATTATCATTATCGTCATTCGTGCCTAAAACATTCTTGACAATATGCCGTATGAGCTGAATATGATCCTTGATTCATGCAAAAGGCAATAATCTCCTACTTTTGACAGATATGCTATATAGAGGAAGGGGATGTCTAAACATTTGATGACGTAACCGTATTTCTCAATCGTTTTCGTAAGCTTGCGAAAACTCCCTATTATGATATCAGTGCTAATTCTATTTTATGCAAAGAGAAAGTGTTTCAAGCCTTGTTTCAAGATAATGTTAATATGTCCATTGTCCATCCAAGTGTTAATTGTTACCGTCCAATAAAAGATGGGAGAAATGACGAAGTTCAGGAATTGAACTTTGATGAGTTGACTTTAGACGGTTTAGAAGGAAAGACCTTGTGCTGTGTCTGCCCTCTCTGGCATAAGCTCTGAGTTTTCAAATGACCAAAAACTCCCAACAAATAATACAGACAAAAGCCAAATACATTTTCTGTGCATCTCACCAGGCCTTCCTCTTGCTATGCACAGTCCTATGCAAATCCTTGTTGGCTCTGGTAGGCTTGCCCATGGATAAGACTCCCGATTGGACTGTCTACATGTTCATACCTTCAAGATAGTCTGCAATCACTGCTACAGCCTTTTTAGAGCAACCTTGTTGACCGCCCTCGGGGGTATGTGCAATAACAATGGCCGTTTTTGAGGACCGAAGAGTAACAGCACCATGTTCTTTCTTTTTTGCCATTACTACTTTTTGGTTTTCCTGTCTCAGAAATTGATAATTCTGGCCTTCGCAAGGTACCCCGTTCGTCTGGAATGGTGTAAAATCTTTACCCTTGAAGCATAACGCTATATCAGCACCCTCTCCCGGCGTTATCTTGAAAGCCTTCTCATGGCCGTCCGTTGTCCACTTTACCCCTCCATTTAGACCTATTATACACGCTTTGTCTACATGACATCGTCCGCCGGAGTCTTTACTCTGTGAAATTAGATTGTCGATATATGAATTCCAGCTCATTTTTAAAACGTGTATAACTGTATTTCGCTAATGTTTCAGTATAAGTCCCGTGCCGACCCCAATCCTGACTATCACAGTTTTGAAGAAACTGCTCTAAGCAGCTCCAATAATGTACAGTTTGTCAATTTTAGACGAGTACAGCGAGGGTGCTTGGACCAAAAATACAGTTCTGATTAAAATAAAATGAAATAAAGGCCAAGAACCTAAGGTACCGTACTTTATATTGAAGGTGGTGGATATTGTCAGAACAGTCTTAAACCTATTCCTATTTCTGATTGGATATTATTGCCCTAATACTTGAATCCAAACATGCAGTATACATCCAATCAGAATTAAGAATTGGTTAAAAACTGGTGCAGTTACGGCGACAATATTAACTACCAAAACATTTAAAATTGCCATTTACCAATTCACAATTATATAAAGCCATGCAAATTAACTATTACTACTACCAATTATTATACGAATAAAAACAACAATTAAAATACTCTTTCTTACTTACGAATACAATAAGTATGAAAACACCCTTCATTACTACTATCCATTATTATACGAATAATTACAATAATGGAAAAACATAAACCTTTATCTATTATTATACGAATAAGTACAATAAATAATGGAAATACCCTTTATTACGGTACCTCTTAATATACAAATACAATAAATAATGAAAATATTCTACTCCCTTCATTATTATTATTATTATACGAATAAATACAATAATGAAAAAAAAAAACACTTAATATAGCTATACCGTTATACTAATAGACATAATTAAAAATCAAAATATATACTCTTTATTACCTCCCTCCCAATATTATATCTCTTTATATACAAATACAATAAATATAAATGAAAATATTCCACTACCGCTTTTCAATATTATACGGATAAATACAATAACGGAAAATAAAAACATTTAATATAACTATACCATTATTATATTATAATGAAAATAGGCCTATTCTTTATTACTTCTACCCAATATTAGACGTAACAATATAAAAAAAACTAAATGAAAATAATGAAAAATCCCTTTGCAGAAAGAAAAAGGCACTCCTGCATAAATTACATAAGTTTAAATGACATGGGAACCGTCTTCTGTCTTGCCACCCTCCCACCTTCCAAGAGTCTTGAAAGCTAAAAATATTAGATTAGTTCTTTATTATTTATCTGTTCTTTGGTTTTGTTCTGTTAAGAAATGTTTTGTGATTCCTAAATTAAATAAAATAAAATTATGAAAAATTATGAAAAGAAAACAGTATACAAGCCTAAATCGTCGATTTTTGATTATAAGGTTTAGCCCACAGGTGGGCAAAATGGGGCCCGAAGAATATTTTATTGCGGCCCACTCGAAAATAAATTAAAACCCCTATGTGTGCGGCCTAATTATGTTTTCCTAGAAAAGATTTTTTTCAAATCCACTGGAAACGTCCGAGTAAAGGTGCGGCCCACACTTGTGTTAAAAAAAAATCAGTTTCCAAATCAAGACGTTCCAATCCCTGGAAGTCAAAATTTGGGAGACTGAATTGGCGGAGTGAGGGGGAGGGGCTGGACGCTGGTGAAGTGAGCCCCACCCAAAAAATGTTGAAAATCTAAATCTTTAGAAGCGTCAGTAATACTAGGGAAGCATTGGACGCGACATATTGATATCGTCGGTCCATTGAAGTTCAATTTGCATATTCAAAATAGTTGCCAGCATACAAGTTTAATATGATGTGTGGTGGTCTAGCTTTAAAATAGGCAAATGTGGAACAAATTGCAAAAAAAAAAAAATCAATGGCAAATGAAGATTGTAATTCCAGAATCATATATATCAATCATATGCCTTAATCGCATGCAAAATAAATTAAATAGGACTATGCAAATTAGAGGTAAAATGTACGCTAGTATCCTTTAATCCCAGAGAGATGCTTTCTTTTTTACATTATTCAGAATTATGCATCTTTCTATTTTCTCTAATGTAAAATCTGCTCCAAAAATGACCGGAAAGCTAAGCTTGACCTTTGAATCTATTTCTACGTATATCTGTGGCCACTGACATGTCCGTAACTTTATATGTCGAAGTATTGAGATGCTTGTTTATATTTATTAAAAGACATGTGTGCGAGTCTTCCAAGTTTGACAATTGACGACTAATTTCCTGATGATGACATAATTAATGTCAAAATATTGAATCCCAACACGATGGCGTGTATTTCAATACTTGGAGTATGTATTATACTTTCTTATCTGAGATTAATCAGTGGACCTTTCGGTTGACGACTAATAGACTTGCTGATTTTGCTATGAAAGTAGTTAAGAGG